TACTTCCCCCTCAACACTTCTGAGATTAATATTTTCTAATCATGCATAGCTAGAAAAGAGCATGAAATCAATACCATTGTCACTGGAGTACATAATACTGGTTAAAATCAGGGAAGAGCTGAACCAACTACGGAGGCGGAAGAGGCGAAATCTCGGCCCACCCTGGCAGGCAGCTGCCTGTCCTGGGAGCGACTGGGTGGCAGCCCCACAGCGCCCGGGCCCTGGGGCAATGCAGAAGCCACCTGGGGGGGGGGGCAAAGAAAGGAAATCCAGGCAGACCCCTGGGGCAAGCCTAGGGCCACAGTTTACAGGAGGGCCCAGAAGCAAAGTCAGCACCACAAGTTCTAATGCTGACTGAGAGAAACGGAAATCACCCCCCTAGGGAATTCCTAGGAAACGGTTCAGAGCCGCGGCAGGCACTGTCTATGGGGGGGGGGGGGGGGGGGGGGGGCTTCCCCCCCCCCCCCCCCCCAGGGGCGGGGGGGCCCGGGGAGGGGGGGGGGCAGGGGGAGGGCACTCTGCAGGGTCTTTCTTTGGAAAAGAGCCGAGACCCCTCTGGCTGCAAGGTTGCGAGGGCTTCAGGTGGGGCCTTGGGACAATTGTGCTTCGCCACCTTTAGTGGACTTGAGGTGGGCCAACCCTACACCCAACCACCATTGGCTTTCAGAGCTGTGCTGCTAGTTCAGAATAATACTTTTTGGATAAATGCAAGCTGGGGTTGGGCGTGTGTGTGTGTGTGTGCGTGTGTGCCTGTGTGTGTGCGTGCAGGAGGGAGGCAGAAAAAGGCCAAAACAGTAGGAAAATATCCGAATGGGGTTTTTTGGGGGGGTGGGGGGTGGCTTTCCTGCAGACGGGGCCATTCTTAATGGAGTTTGGGGGAGGAGGCAGAAGGCCCCACTCACCTCCCGGGACCTTCGCCGGGCAGCCCAGGGCCATCCAAGAAGGGGGCTCCTTTCCAAGAGCCAAGCAGCTCAACCGCCCGAGAGACCCACCCATGGTCCCGCCCCCCCACCGCTTCTGCCGCAGACCAGGAGACACCCCCCCCAGGGAGGGTTCTGCCAAGGGGGGGCCGCTCGCCCTTCCAGGAGAAGAGGAAGCAGCCCAAAGGAGACCTTTTCAAAACCAAAGCTCCCCCCTCCTAACAGTGGAACGGCTGGCAGCACGGAGATTAACCCACAAAACACACCTTCGTGTAAAGTATTTTTGGTTTTGCATTCCTGGAACTGAGAAGATGCACAACTGGAGGAGGGAAAGGTGGGGGGGGGGTCATTAAGGCACCATCGGGCTTCTCCGTGGGCCCAGGCACAGGGGAGGCAGGCCCTCCAGGGCTGCCGCTTGAGGTTTCCGGCTGACCCGAAACCTCTGAAAGGCTTTGGCAAGGTGGGCCGAAGGAACGGCCAGCCTTTTTCCTTTGGGGAAGACGAGAGTTCTGCAGCAAACCTGCCCCCAAGGAGGCAAGGAGCCCCCGACCCTGTTCCACAGCCTCAGTCAGGAGCCCCTGGAGAAGGGAAGGCGCGCCGAGGGACCGGCCTGGTCCGCTCAGCGCTTTGCTCTTTGGCGCCAAGAGGGGAGAAGGCACGTCGGCCATCGCCCTCGGGGGGCTCCTCTTCCCAAGCAGAGCATCTACCTGGACAAGCCAAGGCCCCGGCAGGGACAGGACGCCGCAAGGCCCTGCCCCTCCAGACCCGGGCAAGGGAGGCTAGGAGGGGGAAGTGGTCCCTGGCGAGGCAGCGGCTCCACTGGCAGCTGAGTGGTACCGGCCGTGGCGGCACTAATATTTTCCTTATAAGCAATAAAAAGTACAGTGACACTTAAGCTAACCAGCCCTGCTAGAGGCCGGCCGGCCGCTGGGAGACCTCAGTAATAACAATAAGGCACAAGGGGCGTTTGCTTTTCCTTCCTGTTTGGTCCTGTTTTGCACACCAGCCCAAGAGGCCGATCTAATCCCTCTCCGGTAGTGGATGGTTCCAGCATCATTGCAAATTTGCATTTGGGGGGGGGGGGGAAGGGATGGGGATTGGGGGGAGATACAGGTGAGGCTGGAATGACTACATGGACTCAAATTCATCGATGCGCTGCTTGGTGTTGCCCTGACGGATCTGGCGGAGCGTCTTGTACTTGTCGCGGCCCTGGCGCATGTTCTCTGCGTGGATCATGTCGTTGGCCGTCTTCTTGGTGTCGTCCCGTGCATTGGACAACTCGGAGGTGAGAGCCTGCAGGGCAGCAAGGAGGAGGAGGAGGAGGAGGAGGAGGAGGAGGAGGAGGAGGAGGAGGAGGAGGAGACATCAGCCAGGCGCCTGAGCCGGCCCGTGCGGCACCCAGGCGGAGCTCCTTCCCTCCCGGCTGAGGCTTTGGTGCGTTGACCCTTTCCCTGCAGGCCCTGACCCACAGGGGCTTCCTGCCCTCAGAGACATGGAGGGAGGCAAGGGACCGCGTAGCCTGCATGTCCCCCGGCCTCCCCCAGCGGTCGGAAGAGTTCATTTGCCCCGGGAGCCACCACTCAAGTAGGCAGTGCCTGACCTGTTTGGGGGGCTTGGGTTTCCATCGCCCCAGGCAGAGATGGGCACGGGGGTGCAGGTGGTGAGGGCCAACGCCCAGGGATCCCAGGCTGAAGGGGCCTGGAGGTCAGGGGCAGAGATCCCACGAGGCTGCCGGCCAGCCAAGCCGCTTCCTCCCACCCATCAGGCCAAGGAGAGCATGAAGGGGCGAGAACCTGGACCCAGGGCCCCAGGCGTGGCTGCTCTCAGGCAGGGGGCTGGGTGGGGCAGGAGCCGGGGAAGCTGTACTGCCTAGACCAGGTGGGGCAACTCACCTCCGGCTGCTTCTTCTGCCCCCAAGAGTTGCCCTTTCCTTTGCCTGCCCCTCCCTCCATTCTTGGGCTAAACAGTTGTGCAGCAGCCGCCATCTCTGAAGCCCTCCCTCTTTTTTGCCCGGGCCTTTGACTTCTTCCTGGCTCCGGGACTTCTCCACCGCGGCCGCTGGAAGGGCGTCTGGACTCCGACGGCCCACCTTCCCCAGCCAGCAACGTCCAGGTGCCTTCCAGCGGCCAGGGTGGAGAATCCCCGCCCGAGTCCGCTGGCGTCCCTGGGCCGAGGGAGGCCCACCTCACCTTCAGGTGCTTCTGAACCCGCTCGTTCTTCTCCGCCTCGGTGGTGCGCTGCTCCTCGCTGCGGTCCTTGATGGAGGCGTGCGCCCGCAGCTCCGCACTGGCCTCCGCCGCGTTCTCGTCCTGCTCGTCATCGTGCTCATTCTCTGACTGCATTGGCTCAGACACGTGCGGAGTGCTGGTGACGGACTTCAGCTCCTCCTTGGTTCTCTCCAGGTCTTCTTGGACCAACTGGGCCTGAGGGAGAGCGAGAGAGCGGCTGAAAGCACCCCGAGAAACCTGCTTAGGTCAAGGGAGCCGGAACCAGGGGGGGTGAGGAGGTGCAGCCTTTGGACTGAGGCAGCAGGAAAGCAAGGCCTCCTTCCGTGGTGACAGAAAGGCGGCTTTTGCAAGAACGACGAGCCCAAGGAGGATGCAGAGCTTGTGGTTTTAAGGGCACAAAAATTTATCGGCTTCACATCTCCAGATATATTTTGGTGTTGCATATAATATTGGAAAGCTCTTTTGCTTGGCAAGAAAGCTCCAGAACAAGTTAGGTCACCCTAATAGCACCCTGTGCATAAAAGTCTCTTTGCCTTTGCAAACCGAAGTATGTCAACATGGGGCCTCTATGAAGATCTTTGGCATGTTGTCCTCAGCCGAAGCACGAAGGGCCCATTTGATGCCCTTTGCTAAGGTGCCCGTGGAAAAGGCTCAGGCCTCTAGAACAACTTGGCCTGGGGTCAAATGGTTTTCATTATTTATCTTCTCATCCAACAAGGGCCAAATTTCTCTGCCTGATTTCAGGTTATTACAAACTGTAAAAAATGGCCAAGTGTAGAAACTTGCTAAGGATTTTTTAATCATATTAAAATGAAACACAATTTCCCTGGCAATTAAGAGAAAAACAAGACTTCCGGGTAGGAAGAGAAACGTTGTGTTTGACATCCTCACAGGCTCCTCACGTGGGGAGGGTCCTGGGGTCCCAGAGCAGGAACCCAAATCCCAGCCTGACTTGAGATGCCCAGCGAATGGGCGCCCCAGCCAGCCTTCTGCTGGCATCTGCCCGCTGGGAGGTTTTCGTGCATTTTGCCCTCTGGATAATGACTGGGGTTTTTTTTCCTTACGGTATCCAAAATAGGACACCGTTTTGTACAAAGGGTACGCAGCCCCTTTCCGTTTGCTTTGAGAGGCAATTTCTGACTCCTACTCCAGCTAGTACTCCAGGTGGGTAAGCGAGCCAAGTTCCCCAGGGCCCACAGTGGCCCTTAGAGAGAGACTTGCAGAGCCCTTGTCCTCCTCGCCCCAGAAGGACCAGCGGGTGTCCTGGCGAATGAGCCCAAGCAGCCCACAGGGAGGAGAAAGAGAAGTACTTCCTATGCGCAACCTGCCAGCCTCGGCGTGGGCTGCCTGGGCACCCTTTAGAAAGAGGCCTGGCTCTTCCCCACTTCTCTGGAACACAAACGGGCATTCTTTGAACGTTTTCCCCAGTCCCGGCCCTCTCCCTTCTCCCGCCCCGGGGGGGGGGCCATCGGGGGAAAGGGGGGGGGGGGGGGGGGTGGACTCACTTTCTGCTGCCACAGCATCGCCTCGCTCTCCTTCTTCTGCTGCGCAAATTCCAGCTGCGAGATCCGGGTGGTGAGTTCCAACATCTCGCTGGTCTGCAAGGAGAACAGAGCACCCCAGTCAAACCTCCGTCAGCGCAGAAGGACTGCAGGAGGAGCCGGGCAGCCCCCAAGATCACCAGCTGCGCCTGGAAGGGCCCCCAGTCCTTTGGGGGGGTTTCTCGACCATCAGTGGTTCCAGGCCACAATTCAGGGACTAGTTAGAGCCCAGGCTCTCCCTCCCTGTATTTGCAGGCACAGAGCCCGACCTTCCACGAATCTGTCCACTTCCACTTTAATATCATCCAAATTAGCTGCTAAATCACAGCTGGTGGCAGTGGGAAAAAAAGACCATTTCCTGCATGGTCCTCCGTTTCTTTCCTCTGCTCCTACTTCCACGGTTCCACCTGTTTGCTCAGCTGCAAAGGTCTAACCTCCACACAGGCCTGCCTTGTAAGTCTGCGAGAGGGCCCAAGGGCAGAAGAAGGGTCGGAGTGGGAGAGACAGAGAGAGAGGGGGGGGGCTCTTAGCATGGCCCTGTCCAAATTCACGGGGGTGGGAACGGATAGGATTTGGGGAGCTCCTTTCCCCATGTTTCTGGAGACAGCATCGCCCCCAGATGGATTGGCAACGGACTGACCGACCACAATTAACACGTAGTCCTCAAGGGAGCTGCGTTGGCATGAGGGGAGGTATGTAGCGGGTACCCCAAGGCTCCATCTTAGGGTCCAGGACTCTTCAATATCTTCATGAACAATTTAGACGAGGGGTTGGGGGAACTCATCAAGTCTGCCATAACACCGAGCTAGGCAGAACAGCCAATTCTTTAGAAGATAGGCAGAAGATCCTAGAAGGATCTTGACACGCTTGAACCCTGGGCCCTAACAAATGGACATTCAATGGGGAGAAAAGTAGGGCTTTTTTACACTTAGACAAGCAAAAACAAAGGCACAAGCAGAGAATTGGTGATAGCTGGCTCAACAGCAGTAACTCTGAGAGGGATCGGGGAGTTCTGGTGGACAATCCTGTCGGAGCCCAAAGTGTGCGACAGCTGCCCAAAAGGCCAATGCCGTCCTGAGCTGCACCAACAGAAGGATATCCTCAAGGTCACAGGTCTTAGTATTGCTCTGTAGCGCACGGAGGAGACCATGCTTGGAAGGCAGAATCCAGTTTGGTTCTCCACAATACAAAAAGAAATGGAGACTCTGAAAAGAATCCAGAGAAGAGCAACAGAGATGATTAGGGGCCTTGGAGGACTGAATATATGACGAATGCTTGCGGGAAAATGTTCTAACCAAGAGGAGGGCGGAGGCCTCAGAGCAGCCTTGCAGAATCAGAGAATCTGCCCCAGAGAAGGGAGGCCAACCTTTTCTCCAAAGCACCTGAGCCTGAGGCAGGACAAGAAGTAAGAGGGGAAGGTCACTGAGAGAGATCAAAGCTAGAATTAAGGGGAAATTTCCTGTCAGCGGGAACCATCAGCAGAACGGCTGCCCTTCGGAAGGGGTGGGTGCTCCATCACGGGAGGTTTTCAAGAAGAAGTATGCTAGAACCACGCCAGTCAGAATCATGTAGGGTTTCCCGCCTGAACAGGGGGTTGGTCTAGAAGACCTCCAAGGTCCCTTCCAACTCCTGTTCTTTGATTGTCCTTCTGCTAATCAGCTGCAGGCTTTGGAAGGAGGAGGTTGAGTCCAACCCATCGGAGGCCTGAGCTGGTCCAGGAGAAGAGGCGCCTCCTGCCCTTTCGGGGACTCGGGGGGGGGGGGTGTCTTTGCATGCCCCACACCAGGAAGTGCATCTCCTCTTGGGCTGCGCATCTTTGGAAGGCATGCCCTTTGGAAGTGGGTTGGGGTCCTGGATGAAGCAGCATTTGAAATTAAATTCATTGAAATAAATGAACGGCGGCATCATTCGTTGATGGTCAAAGGGACGGGAGGGATCCTTCCCCCTTTGCCTGAGGCCGAGAGGGCTACTCCAAGGCCGCCTCCTCCTCCTCCTCCTCCTCCTCCTCCTCCCAGCAGCACCTGCCTTTCGGCCGCCTTGGCTGCAGAGCTGACCTTCCCATTGCCCGCCCCCAAATGCAGGCCCCGCTGCCAAGGAGGGCAGAGCCCAAGACGAAGGCGCAGCTCTCCCCGGGCGACCTACCAGCTGCTCCTGGGTCTTCTTCTGGTCGTTGGAGGCTTTCAACAAGGCTTCTTTGGCCTCCTCGGCTTCCTGCCGCTCCTTGGCCAGCTTCTCCGCCTCCTCCTGGGCTCGCTTCCTCTCCTGCTCCAGCTCCAGGGCCCTGCGCGTTTGCTCCTCCAGCTCTGGGGAAAGAGGCCGAGAGCGTCAGCCCTTCTGCCCCCCACCCTCCCAGGGCTCCTCTCCCCCGGGGCCCATCCTGAGGCCGGGCCTCCTGCCCACCTTGTTGAGCTTTCTTGGTTTGCTCCTCAATTTGTCGGAGCTTCTCCATCAGCTCTTCTTTCTCGCGTTCAATCTTTTCCTTCTCCTTCTCGGCCATCTCCCTCTTCTTCTTCTCGTTCTCCAGCAAAGCCCTGAGAGGAAAGGAAGCAGCATGCAGCAAATTTCGTGCCTCCTTTATATAAAAACAACCCGGCTGCTCGGGGCTTCCAGGGTTCATTTTAGTCACAGGCCCAGAATCAAAGCTGAAAGTGGCCTTAGAGGCAATCTAGTCCCGGGATGGAGAACCTATGCCATGTGTGCTGGAAGGAATAGGCAGAGCCATCTCTCCAGACACGTCCACCGTTTGCCCGTTGCTCTTCCGGGTTCTGGCACACGCCTGGTGTGCCGGCCAGGTGGTCTTGGTGCGCATGTGTGCGTTAGAAACGGGAAGACCAGGTGGCCGGCACGAAGGCACACGTTGAGAGCTGCTCGTCCGCTTTCTGGTGCACGCACACATGTCTGCGCTTAGAGGTGCCTTCAGGGTTAACCACCACTGATCTAGTCCGGCCTCCTGCTCAGCACAGGATTCCCCCTAGCAAACGTCTGATGGATGGCCTCCCTTCCAACCAATTTCTCTCTGGAGACTCTAGGGACTTCTAAACAAACTGAAAAGGAAGTCAGGGCAAACTTGTCGCCTTCCAAATCTTTTAATCCAACTGCCCAATCTACACACCTCAAATTAAAATACGGCTTGGAAAACTGTACACTTTCCATTCCAAACCCACCATGTTTCTCTGGGTTGCCTCAACAGGATCCCCACCTGTTTAAAAGCTGAGGGACCCTGCTTAGAAGGCGTTCATCCCCCAGAGGACCAGGGGGACCCTTCCTGGTAATGGAGGGGTACCAGGGATTCCCGGTCTTTGCCGCTATCCCCCGGGACCTCCAAGGGGAGGAGGGAAGAATGACTTTATTGCTCGACATCCCTAAGATGCAAGAATGTGCTTTTGGGCAGAATTATTCCAGTGTGCCATAGAGCGCAAGGCTGCCTTTTACCCTGAGATTTAGTTCCCACACCCCTCCAAGAGCCTTTGACGATGACAGACCAATGGCACTCACTCCTATCATTGTGAAATGCTTTGCCGCCACATCGTTTCTGGTCTTCCACATACATTTGATAAACACCAGTTTGCATACAGAAGAAATAGATCTACAGAGGACGCTTTAGCCATCCCTCTTCACACTGCTCTGACCCATCTAGAACAGTGGTGGGGGCTATGTGAGGATGCTTTTTGTGGATTTTAGTTCTGCGTTTAACACAATACATAGATTAGTGTCTAAACTTCTGGACCTTGGACTTTCTTATTCAATCTGCCTTTGGATTATGGATCTCCTGTTTAGCCGCTCACAGCGGGTCAGATTAGGTAATCATACCTCTTCAGCCCTTATTCTTAACACTGGCACATCACAGGGTTGCGTGTTGAGTCCCTTACTCTATATTCTTTATGTGCATGACTGCATTCCCACTCACGCTAGTAATACTATTGCTAAATTTGCAGATACTACAACAGTGGTGGGATTTATTTTCAGTCATAATGTACACTGAAGATGGCATTTAATTTCGTTGTACGAGGTGCAATGGCAACGAAGTCAACTAAGCTAAACTTATGAAACGAGAGTTCTAGAAACCTCCTTCCCCCCTTAGAGAAGCCCTCCTCCACACCTCACGTGGTGCTTGCCCTCCTTCGGACCCTGTACTCCCCTCCCTGTCCCTTGGGAGCCGGGGTCTCTGACTGCAGCCCAGGGGCAGGCCTTTCCCCTAAGAAAGCTTCGCATCCCAACCCACGTCCTGCTGTGAGATGCCCTGGCCAGATCGGGCAGCCGTGTGCTTAGCCAACTCACCTCTCCATCTGCTTCTGATGCTTCTCCTCTCGGGCCTGGGCCTTCATCTGCTGAACCTCTATGGTGTCCGGTTTACGCCTGCGCATGTAGAGCTCGTGGTTCCCCATGCACAGAGCCAGGATGCGCTTGTTAATCCTTAGCCGGGGAGCGTAGAAGACAAAATCCTTGGCAGGCAAAGGAGAAAGGATGGGGTTAGCCCCAAACGCAGCTTCCCTCGGCCCTCTTTTTTCTCCAGAGGTAACAACGCAACAGGATTACACAGGCTGTAAATTTTAGGAAATGAAGCATATCTCCAAACAAGTTATTTCCTTTTGCAAGCATCTACCTGTATTTACTATTAGAATTCTTGTATCTTTTGTAACTTTCCATTGGATAAAAAAAAGGGTGTGATGTAAGAGAACAACTTTTTACAGGGAGGTATATCTCAAATGGGCTACCTTAGAGAATGCACCCAAAATCTGAGAGCCAGGACTCCTGTGGGACTTTGAACCTCCACTGCAATGACAGGACCATCATTCCCAGCGCTCCCTCCCAGCTTCCCACAAGCAAAGTCACTAGAGGAGCCAGCGGAAAGTTGCAAGTCCGCGGCCAGAAGGCAGGTGAGTGGCTGCTGCCAGGTGGGGGAGGGAGCGAATGGGAGTGTGAGAGGCAGGACCTGGTCAAGGAGGACACACAAGGATGCAGCACAGATCGGAGCAGGGGGGGGCAGGAGAGGTGTGGGGGGGGGGGTTAGCTCGACACGAGGGCAAAGGGACTGGGGTGTGTGTGTGCGTGGGGGACCTGAGCAACTTCTCTTCTGGCTTCCCCATTGACTGCCACAGCTTCCAACAAGCAAAGCCAATGGGGAAGCCGGCTGGAAGTTGGAAATCGCTGCAGGGGAGTTAAGCTTTTCCTGATAGAAACTGAAATTAGTTAAATGATATTTATTGACCACCCAATTCCAGCGGTTGGCATATTAACCCAGGGAAAACACCAAACCGTTAAGAACATTGAAACACACAGGCAGACCAGACTAAAATAACCCGGTAGATGGGAAAAACAATAATATTGTTTTGGGGCCTTGGAGCCAAATTATAAACAGCAACTCCAGGCCAGGACCCGAAGCCTCCAAGGCCTTGCAAAGACCCCAGGCACCACCTTTATCTTGAGGTGGGAGGGGTCCAGACAGCGGGGGCCACAGCAGAGAAGGCAGGTTTCCTCAGCCCACCCAAGAAAGGGCCACCTTGAGCGGAGAGGACCTGGTGCTGCTGGGACATCCTGGGTGGGCACAAATAACAGAGGAAGAGGGGTCTCCAAGAACCCAAGACTGGGGGGGGGGTCTTTCAGCGTGAGTCACTGGTTGCATTTGCATAGCACCAGAGGCTGCTGGGAAGAGCTGCTCACTGTGAGTTTAGGAGTCCACTGGACCAAGGTAGCAGCCTGGTTGATAAGTGAAAACTAAAACCATAGTTCAACCTTGGTAAAATCTTCTGGGGTTGCCGTTTTATTTGAGAATGTCTGGCTTCCTTCAACACAATGCTTGTTTTGCAGCTGTCTGTTGTGGTACTCTTTTGAAATTCAGATACTGTCCTATTTGTAAGGAAATTGTTGGTCTGCTCTACGTGGAGTAGAGCTCCTTTCTGTTGAGCTGCCTTGCTATCAGCCCCCTCTGCCACAAAGATACAGCTTAACAGAGTTGGAAGGGACCTTGGAGGTCATCTAGCCCAAGCAGACCCTACACCAGGGGTGGGCAAACTACGGCCCGTGGGCCACATCCGGCCCGTTGGTCTTTTTAATCCGGCCCGCCGAAGATTGGTACAGAATTAAGGTTTGATGTGAATGATTGAATGATTGCATTCATTTGATTTTGACTTATAATGACAGGCATTTTGACACCAGGTGGCGGCCCGTCTGTCAAATTTTAAAAGTCAATGATGCCCCCGGGGCCAAAAAGTTTGCCCACCCCTGCCCTACACCCTTTCTGACAGGTGGCAGCCCAGTCTCTCCTTGGGAGCTTCCAGGGATGAAGCTCTCACAACTTCCAAAGGCAAAGCTGAAGGCAGGTGGAAGGAGGGCAGTGAGAACAATGCTCTCCTCCGCCGTGGGTGGCTCGGCGCTCTTGGCAGAAAGGCTGAAACCCCCCCCCCCCCCCCCCCAAGGAGCAATGAAGGGGCCAGGACAAAATTAGGTGCCTTCCTAACTGTCCCCTTATTTCACTGAAATTCAATATAATTAACCCGTTGTTTCTTTCCTCAGACACATTAAAATGTACAGCCTGGTAACACCTGTAAGGCTTTGGGAGTCGCCTCTGGGTTGAAGCCACTGCTGGAGTCCTTAGGGGAGCCCGGCCGGTTGGGTCAGGGGAAGAGAGGCTGGGAGCTCCGGATGGTGGGTGGGGCTCAGCCACCCATGGGGACTAAACAAACCTTGGCTCAGGATAGGATGGGCTCCTCTGTGCATGTATGTATGTACCTATGTATGTGGAAACCGCCCAGAGCTCTTCACTACAAGGTGGGCAGTAAAACACATTCAGTAAATAAATAACCACATTGCAAATTTCTCAACTGGATCGCCAAGCTATAAACCTCAAATGTAGGAGACCGGATCCTTAGCTTGATGCAGGGGCTGCCCACGCCTGTTTGGAAAGGATGCCTACGGCTCTCCTGCCCACCGCTTGGCTTTGCCCAACGGCAATGGAGCCATCAACGGTTGCTTCTCTCGTCTCCTTCGGTCAAGTTCCCGCAAGACTCACGCTGAATTCTATGGATGCCACTTCCTGCCCAGCCAGAGCAATGCCACCTCTTTCCATGTCCTTAGGGTCTCTTTTGTGGCCCGCAAAACTTGCCAACGGTCAATCTTTGTTCTCTTTACTGTCCATCGTGTTTTACTGCTTCATCCCTTTGGCTGCCTGAACGGTTGGCTGAATGGTAGCTCTTTTCGCGTCGGTGACCCCAATCAATGCAGAGGCAAAACCCAGTACTGGCCCCAAAGGCTCCAATGACAGGCTTTGATCTGACCTTTCCATTTCTTTTTTTATTAATCTCTAAATAAATGAAGACACTAAACCAGTTAAGTTGTAAAGCGTAACTTACCGGGGCCTTCTTGTCAATGGGCTTGATGACAAACTTCTTATCGTTGAAGGAAATGTTTCTGATCTCACTCCAGGGGAACCCAATTTTGGGTGTTAGCCTGTGAAAGACGATTTGTCATTGCAAAAATGAAACCTCAGTGAACAGTTGCAGCAATCCAAAGCCCCTGCGTTTGTTCTCACCCTCCGTACGTTTCCCGACATTGAGAGTGTTTGGATGCAGAAGGGAAGGGAAGGGGCCATGTTGACCAAACGATGCAACTGAAGGGGGTCTAGGAAACCAACGGCAGCTGACTTCTAAGGTGCCATCCGAGCCATCCAGGCCAAGCTGGAGCCCGGTCCAAAGAATGACCAGGCCATACGTGGGCCTCGTCTTATGCCTAGAGACAGTCCTCCACTTACAACCACCATTAGGACCAGCATTTCTGTTGCTATGCAAGGTAGCCGTTAACTGAACCGCACCCACTTTTGCCATAGTTGTCCAGAGAAGCACTGCAGTTGTTAAACAAACCGTGGCTAAATTAAGTGAACCCAGCTCCCCCCACTGGCCTGACTTCCTGGAAGGCCCCCAATGGTGACCCTGGGATGTTGCAACTCTCACCCATACAGGCCAGCGGCCAAGCGCCCCAACTCTGGCCCTGTCACCTTGGGGATGGGTGTGGACTGGCCACAAGTCCCTTTCTTCAGCCTCTTCACGTGGTTGGTCAACGAATGATTGTTAACCAAGGAATCCCTGCACGGTCTCTTATCCTTCCCGCAGATGCCTACAAATCCAACCTTGAACCCCAAAAGAGATGGCAAGTAAAGGGGACAATGCCAGCCACGTAGGCCCTGCCCTCCATGCGCTACTGCCGCTTTTTTGGTGCAAATTGTGCAGCCCTCCCCCACACTCCACCAAGGCCCGGCAAGACACCCCCGTGTTGCATTGCCTTCAACTGGGCTTCCTACACCAGAGATGGGATCGTCTAACAAGACAAGGATCATCTGCACAAACCTGGGCCAGAAGACTAACTTTTCCTAGCCGATTAACATCTGTGTGTATCAAAAGTCTCTTGATAGATGAAATGACGATTGCCCCAATAATCCTTGCAGCCTGAAGGCCTATGAAGATACAGGCCGTACAGAGACCATTCAAGCAGTGAGCTTAGCTTCATATAACATGAAGCAAAAAACAAAACAAAACCCATCCCTTTTCTTCAATCTGAGGAAATTTCTCACTTCTGTTTCAAGGACAATGAGCATGAGAGCAAAATGAATTACAAAATCTCTGAGCCTAGGAAGTAATTTAATTTCTGGGAAATAATTGTGTTGGGATTAGAAAGCAAGTTACACCTGTTTTTATTGTTTTAGTGTTTTTAAATTGTTTTAATTATTTTATAATTTCATAATTGTAAACTACCCAGAGATACTGGGTTAAGTTGGACAGCTGTAGAAATTGATTGATTGATTGATTGAATGAATGAATGAATAAATGATTCCAGTAAAAATATGTCCGTAGATTAGTAGAATCGTGTGTGAACTGGAAGCAACTAATGGCAAACCAATGCCAGCATGGAGAGTCACTCTGGCTAAGTCAGGGCTGGAGAGAGTCAACGGTACAACCTATTATCAGGAACAATGCCAAAACCTCATCAGTGAAAAGAGACAATTGCTTGCAGACAATATTCCCAAGAATGTGGGGATTTCTAGTTGATCAAAGGAGAAAGTGGCTGTCACTATCTGTGGAGACTTGGTCACATCCAGCTGTGTCCTGCTCTTATAAACCCTCCCCTGTCTTAATCACTCTGTCCGTCAAGACAGACAGACAGACAGACACACACACCCTCACACACACACTCTTTCTCTCTCTGTGCATTCTATCGGAAGATTAAAGAGAATAGTTTTGTTACCGGTCGTTCTGTTCATAAATGTTGAGTCCAAGAGCATCTACTCCTAACCAGAGTTCTGAGCCTTTCTTGTTCTTAATGCTAAAGTAGTTCACACCGTACATCTCCAGATCTTGTGCAATTTTTAGGTATTCTAAGATGGCATCTTCTCTGAAAGGACCAAGAAAACAAACAGGTGTTAACTTTTAAAGCTATGTTTTGCTGGAAGCATTCTCAAAAGTATCCCCCTTTTTTTGCAATGGTTGGTTCCGCACCCAAGAGAGGGCACTGCTCATTTGACTGGAGCGTGGGGTGCATGGGGCCGCCGGCTTTAGAGTAACAACCAACTAGCTCAGCCACGGCATGGAGACCCCAGGCCCTTGATCACTCTTCCCACCTGTAGAGAAGTGACCAGGGGTTCCGGTAAATGAAAGTCAAGATGGGGGTTGCGGCAGTGTCGCCAAAGCGCCAACTGTTTCTACATGCATCATGCATCATTAGACTTAAGTATACCTTGCAGGTATACAAACAGAATACCTCCCATGCTCTCTTTTGAGCCACAAGAGCACCTTCTGTTCTTGGCAGCCATACCTGAGCATCCCCCGATGTTCCTCATGCCACACCTGGATTCTTTCTTCCCACTGATCCTTGTTAAGTTTATGCTGTTCCAAAACTCTACGGGGCAACAAGATGGAAGACTTGTTAGGATATATGGACAGCTCTGCAAAACAAATTCTTCAGTCACATGGCAAGCATGACCATTTCTCAAAAGAGCCTCCGAGGTTTCCATACTTAGCGGAAGAGAGGCGACATCAAGGTGGGTTGCAGAGGGCACTGGAATGGCTTATGGCCCCCCACCCCACCCGCTAGGCTCGACTCTCTCTCTGGGGTGCGTTTAAACACTTTGTCACTTGGGGCTTTGCTTCCCAAGGACCTCTCCTTCTCGCACGGTTTCCCAGTTTTTCAGAACGTCTCTTTCCCAGCTCTTCAAGCAGCCCTAGTTTGGGATCCGAGTATTATTTTACTGAGGAAAATAAATGAAAAACACACACCAAAGGTATTTGGGCTGAATTCACACCCCGTGCTCAGCACCACTTTATTTATGTCTTAACGCCACCTGGCAATTCGCTCCATTGTGGTTTATTCAGCAAACCACAGCTGAGCGCAATGTGGGGCCCAACCAACCCCAAGACAGAGAGGCGCGAAGGCTCATCTATTGTGGGATAAGGTCAAAACTGCACAGCAGAAAAGTGGGATATGCAGCTCATCATTAAAGATACAGCTACGCGGTCCAAGGGGGAACTGCCGCTTTCGCTCTACCTCTGAGGAAGCAGTTTGTCCGTAGTGAGATAGCCGGGCTTATGAACCTCCTTGTTGAAGTCCCCGTATTTGGACTGGACCGCATAAGAGGCCAGGAGAACGGCCGTCTCCGGGGGACAGTAGATGTCATCGTTCAAGATGGCCTCCTTCACTTGGAGGAAGAAAAGGCGCTGCGTGATGTCTTGTATCAGCTCCTCCGCAACGTCTTCTGGGTAGAATTTGGCCCGGAATTTGAAAAGCAACGGGCTCTCTTTGCGCACATCCTGAGCGGTGACCTGTAGCACAAGGTGACAAAGACAGAAAGAGGAAAAGCCACCCAGGAGCACCAAAGCGGAGAACTCTTGAGTCAGTGGGGGTCTGTGGAGATTAGTCACGGTTGGCTTTATGGGAGTCCCCTGGAATTCCAGGAATATAAACCCTCCCATTCTCCACCGTTCAGTCAGGACTGAAGAAGCTTTGTAGGGGGAGAAGCAAAACGTCTTCAAGGAAAGACAAAGGAAGCCCAGTTGCCTTTCCGAAAAAGCGCCCTCGGGGCTATTAGGCCAGAAGGCCTCCTAAATCCACGACCCGCGACCCCAGCCACGGGGCCCAGGTGGGAGTGCCTGCCCTAAATCCCAGGGCCGCTTGTGAATCAACTCCACTGGGTTGGCTAACCTAGCGTTTCCACTCAGCCTTTGCCCAGCATTGGAGCTTTCCTGCTGCTGAGAATGTTGGGAGCTGAATGTCCTAGAAGGTGCTCAGGTGGGCAACGCAGGAGGCGGTCAGGGCCACCTGCAACCTAGCAGCCCTCTAGATCAGGGGTGTCCAACCTTGGCAACTTTAAGACTTGTGGACTTCAACTCCCAGAGTTCCTCAGCCAGCAAAGCTGGCTG